GTTCCAATCTTGAGAAAGGAATTTTGTGTTTGATATTATCTCCATTAACTCGTCTAGTCTTTGGATCATGCAGTTGACTGCTAGGCAGCATAATCGTAGTGATGTTGAACTGTTTATTCTTCGTTCCCAAAAGTCATTTTTCCAAATACCCTGTTTATATATGGTAGTGATGTTGAACTGTTTATTCATCATGTTTGTCACATGAATTTCTTCAATCTCTATTGAAACGAGCTGTTAAGGTACATGTAGAGACATTGCGTACAAATTGACTTGACCAATCCTGATCTCCCATCTTTAAGTCTATCAAAAGGATGTGCTCTGGTACAACTTTTGGTTTTTGTTTATTTTATTTTGATGGGTGATCTTTAAATGTATTTTGTTGTGGGTTTTGAATAAAGAGATATTAGTGTCACTTGCATTGCATATTTATTCCTCTTGAGAAATGTTGGTACAGCTCTGATATTTCAGGACCTGAGGGCATCTGACTTCTGTATCATCTGGTCAGTAATGGAAAATTAATTGGAAGGCTGTGTTTACATATACTGGTAATTAGCTGCACAACATGTCATATCTACTTGTAGTTCCATTCTTGAGAAAGGAATTGTGTATTTGATCTTTATCCCCATTAACTCGTCTAGTCTTTGGATCACATGCAGTTGACTGCTAGGCCGGATAATGGTAGTGATGTTGAGATTTACTTGAAATTGCGACAACAGCTTCGAAAATCATGTAAGCGCCTTAACATATCCATGCAATATGGTGTTGCATTTGTATTCCACACGCACATACACATGTTTCTGCATTTTGTGTTCCTTGAATCGATCTGTTCAGTTCCCTGACTGAATCTTGGTAAGTTGATATCATGGTATTGGTTATTAGTCATTTAGTTCCTATTAAGTTGTAAGTAATGTCTTGCATGGAGTAACCGTTGATGCTGATTACATTCCTCGTACGGCCTAATTGAAATGCCATCCTTGTGACATTCTTCTTGGCCGGTCCGGAARACGAACTTATGTTTATCACCCGAATCGGGGAATTCAACAGAGACTAGAATCAGCCATTTCTGCTTTGAACTTGCATTGTTTACATCTCCTCTTGGTACTCTCATTTCTCCACAAGTGTATCTTGATGTTAACCATTTTTCTGGGATCATTCCTATATTAATCAACAGAGGACATAATTAAAATATTTTACAAATCTGTATATGACTCCCAACAGAAAGATGATGACGGGAGAGAGCTATTTTTAGTTGACTTAGACAAGTGACTGGAATCCGCCACTTCTGCTTTCAACATATATTTTTTACATCCCCTCCTAGTACTCTTATTTCTCCGCAAGTGTTATCTTGATGTTAACCTTTTCTCTGGGATCATTCCTAGATTTATCAAGTGAAGGAAATAAATAAAATATTTTATGTGGCTTTCAACATAGAGATGTTGACATGAGAGTTCTGTCAAAATGTGTTTTAAGTTGAATTAGAAAACGGATGGCTTTTATCCCTCCTTGGTTTAAAAATTCTTGCTTAAATTAATCACCTTTAATCAAAGGCCAGGGTTTCTTGAAAATATCTCTCTCTTTTTCATACATTATCAAAGCCTTTCTAAATACTCTGTTTATATACGTCTACATTCTTTGTGTGTCATTTACTTGTTTTTCACTAAATTACAACCTTTTAGAGTTCTGTCAGGAGTGGCTGATGATCTGCTGGATAATTTGATCATCATGGTTTGATTTTTGGGAAATTTCTTTCCCCCCTCTGTTTATGACATGTACACGAGTTCTGCAATAACATGTTCACGGTTTCTTACTTCGGAAGTTCTTGTACCAGTGCATCTTGTTTGGAGCTAAAGTTGTTCGGTAGGCTGCACCTTGGATTATCTTGGTTCGTCTGTCTCTAATTATTTTTTCATGCCGACTATTGGTCATTCTTCATAGCTTTTTTGTTTTTAGATGTGCATTTTTGCTTCTTTAGTTATTTCCAGTTCTTCATATTGATATCCAGTACCCTTGCTCAAAAGATCTCACCTTTTGTAGAGCACGCTAGTGGAACCACATGATGAGCCTTCCGCCGACACTAAAGGTTGAGTTCATGGCTTTGGTTGTCCCTTCTATTTCGTGTAATGGAGGTACATTGGAATTTCATGAAGTCATATGCTATTCACTTGTCTAATACTTATAAATATAGTCGTAGATCACATGAATGTACATTGAATGTTATCATTAAATTTTATGATTATAAGTTGGCTTTGACAATTGGATTGGTCCTTCTTTTTGCAGGATGCGTTGCTTTTTGTTCTTCTGCTAGACCATGGATCTAGCCAACTCAAGGACAATGTTTGTGGACAAGTATGTTTGAAATTAACTTTCTAAATAATTTTGTTCTTTGTGGAGTTGTCTACATTGTTAACTCCTTCATTGTTTGTGGTCAAAATTGGTTTTTTTTGTCAATGATTGTGATGGTGGCAAAATGAACATATATTTTTTTGAATGCAGTTCTTGCAAATCCCATGCATGGTGGTAAACTGCAATCCTGGTAAATGGCAACCGAGCTGGTTTGTCGTTTCTGTTCAAAATCTCAATTCATATCCATGTAGATATTTTTCGTTTATTATTCTTTTAGGTTACATGACTTGGCCATTTTTAGTTCTGTCAACGAATGAATTACCTACCGGATGATTTGGTTATCATGGCTTAATTTGGACGATGCGATTGGGAAATTCTTTTCTTCCCTCTGTTTTGCAGTAACATGTTCTTGTTTTTTTGCTTCTTCAGTTTTGTACCAGCTCTATTTTGTGGAATAGAAGTCGTTAATTAGGCTGCAGCTCGGCCATCTCTGTTGGTCTGTCTCAAAATATGGTTTAATATGGATGATATGTATGCATATGTAGGGATCATCGCCTACTTAGTACATTTAGTGCATAAATAAGGTTGTGGCTGATCATAGTCCTGTGGCTTATCCTCTCTCTTAATTTCCCCTACTTATATGGGTTGTTTGTTGTTAGAGGGGATATGACTAACATACACAATTTCCTCTTTACTGAACTTTCTCTCAGATTCCTATTTGATCCTAAATTTCGAAGATAACTCCATACTTGATTTTCCAGATTAAGAGTTTCAATTGGTCGTTGGTATTATCAACCCTGATTGAATTTATATTGTTATATCAATGGGTGTCCATATTTCTCTGGTACTGTCAGAAGATCTCACTTTTTTCTTAAAGCGCGATAGTATGCCGTTTTAGACCTCATGATCATGAGCCATTAGAAATTCCTTAAGTATGCATTTTCATTGATGCCAAAGGTGGTGGCTCTTTACTCTGTTTTTCCGACTTTGGTTGTCTTTTCTATCCATCGTAAGTATTGTACTTTTCATTTCTGAACATTTAGGGGTCTGCTTGAAATTCCCACTTGAGCTATGAAATCCTGTAAGTGCCTTAACATATACATCCATTATGATGTTTGTGTTTGTGTTCCACACACGCGCATGTTGCTGATTTTTCTAGTCCTATTTTCGGTGATGGACTTCCTATCCATTTCCCTCCATGTGGTGTTCTGTAATGTGGATTTTTTGCAGAAAGTAACGGCTGATGTTGCATGCAGATCCTCATATGGCTAATTAAAAAACATTGCTCATGGGTTCTCTCACACGGGCTGGAATCTGCTTTCGTATTATATTGTTTGCAGTCCATCGTGGTGCTCTCATTAATTTATCCNCTTTCGTATTATATTGTTTGCAGTCCATCGTGGTGCTCTCATTAATTTATCCTCCTGATGTTCAACAGTAAGTCTTTTGTTGGCCCTCTCTTTAGTTGGCATGTAGTGGTATCATGGCATTTTTTAAATGATCTGCAGTAATTTCGCGTTTTGTGTGATGATTTCGGGAAATCAAACTTGTTTGGCACTGAAATCACCTATGTATTGGTTGTGTCTTCCTCATGTGTTTTAGATGAATTTCTTCAATCTCTGTTGAAACGAGCTTTTAAGGTACATGCCGAGACATTGCATACTAAATGACTTGCAGATTTCCTCTCTTAAGTCTATCAAAAGGATGTGCCCTGGTACAACTTTTGGTTTTTGTTTATTTTATTTCATGGGCTGATCTTTAAATTACTTTGTTGTGGGTTTGGAATAAAGAGATATTGGTGTCACTTGTATAAGTAAACACAGCCTTCCAATTAATTTCCGATAACTAACCAGATGACGCTGATCCTCAGGCCCTGAAATATCAGAGCTGTACCAACATTTCGCTGTGTTTACTTATACTGGTAATTAGCTGCACCACATGTTATATCTACCTGTAGTTCCAATCTTGAGAAAGGAATTGTGTATTGATCTTTATCTCCATTAACTCATCTAGTCGATCTTTGGATCATATGCAGCTGACTGCTAGGGCGGATGATGGTAGTGATGTTGAACTGTTTATTCTTGGTTCTGAAAGTCATTTTGCTAAATACCCTGTTTTTATATGTCTACATTCTCTGGTTATTTTATAGTTATTTTACTTGTTTTTCATTAAATGACTTGGCCTTTTAGAGTTCTCTCTTTTTATGTCATGAACATGAGATTTGCAATAACATATTCTTGGTTTTATTCTTCTGCAGTTTTTGTACCAGCACTTCTTATTTGTAGCTAGAAGTTGTTTTTTATTGGACATATAAGTTGGTTTGTCAGTCTCAAAATATGGTTTTGTATTGACTCTTGGTATCGAGTCTGGCATTGGTCATTCTCCATGGTGTTAGCGCTCTTTGGACTTTTCAAACTTAGCGAACTGAAGCATCTGAGTAGCTAAAGGAAGGGAAATCAACCGAGACCCCGTTAGTAGCGGCGAGCGAGAGCGGATTGGGGCTTTGAAGAAAAACAAAGACGAAGCTTCGTTCCTCAACAAAGTATTCATTTCTTCTTCGCCAGGTTTCATTCTCTTTCTTTTTTGAAGATCTACCAGAAATTGCGACTTCAGCTTTGAAAATCCTGTAAGCGCCTTAACATATGCATGCAATATGATGTGGCATTTGTTTTCCACATGCATATACTCATGTTTCTGCATTTTTGTTACTTGAATCTAATATGTTCATTTCCTGAAACTTAATTTTTGTAAGTTGAAATCATGGTAATGGTTATTAGTCATTTAGTTGTCATTAAGATGCAACTAATGTCTTGCAGAAAGTAAACGTTGATGTTGCTTGCAGCTCCTCTATGACCTAAAAGAAACCAATAGGCAATAGGCTTTAATTTTTTTTTTTGGGGGGAGGGCACCAGTCATAGTTTGTTCACTGGGCACCAGTCATAGTTTGTTCACTCTTCTTATTCAGTCCCTCTACAGCTCTACTCATATTCATGGGGATGCTTTTATAGTCTTCAAGTTGTATCTCGTTAATAACTTTACTGTTAAGAGTTCTGTCTGGAATGGCGAACAACCTACTGGATTATCTGATTATCATGACCTGTTTTAGATGGCGTGGTTAGAAATTTATTTTTCCCATATATGTTTTTGTACATGAACTCTGCAGAAGCACAATCATGCTTTTATACGCTACGAGGTTTTGTTCCAACATTTACTTTGTGGAGCTAGAAATTGTTCAGGTACTAAGCTCTTCACCTCTCTTTTAATTTGGTTTAGATGTTGGGTTTGGTGATATGACGGTCCGTAGATTGACCAAGCTAACTCAAGATCAACTTTTTGGACTAATTTCCTTCCCCAGATTGATTGATTTCGCGTTCTTCTTTAGTCAAGTTAGCTTTTGTGTTTTATTATAATCAACAAGTCCAACTCTTTTGATGTTTTCTTTTTTGGTTTCCCCTGATGTCAATGGAGCTCTTTAGGTGGTTTTTTGTTGATGAAGCAACCAAAAGATAGCTAATGATGTTTCAATTGAAATCATGATTATGAACCCTTAAGATCATCTCCTCTTTCATCATTTCAAAATTTTGGTACATACTACCTTAGGCAAAATGTATATAAATTCAGGAATGCACAAAAATAACAATTTTTTGTGTTTATACTCTAGAAACATTTTTCTAGAGTATGTATTCATGCATACCTTCACTTCCATGTAGGTACATTGAAATTTCATGGAGTAATATGCTATTCACTTGTCAAAAACTTATAAATACAGTTGTAGGTCCTCATGGAGAAACATTCTTCTTATTCAGTCCCTCTACAGCTCTACTCATATTCATGGGCATGCTTTGTCTTTTATAGTCTTCTAGTTGTATCTTGTTAATAACTTTACTGTTAAGAGTTCTGTCTGGAATGGCGAACAACCTACTGGATTATCTGATTATCATGACCTGTTTTAGATGGCATGGTTAGGAATTTATTTTTCCCATATATGTTTTTGTACATGAACTCTGCAGAAGCACAATCATGCTTTTATAAGCTACGAGGTTTTGTTCCAACACTTACTTTTTGGAGCTAGAAATTGTTCAGGTACTAAGCTCTTCGCCTGTCTTTTAATTTGGTTTAGATGTTGGGTTTGGTGATATGACGGTCCGTAGGCTGTCGATTGACCAAGCTAACTCAAGATCAATTTTTTGGACTAGTTTTCTTCCCCAGGTTGATTGATTTCGCGTTCTTGTTTCGTCAAGTTYTCTTTTGTGTTTTATTATAATCAACAAGTCCCACTCTTTTGATGTTTTCTTTTTTGGTTTTCCCTGATGTCAATGGAGCTCTTTAGGTGGTTTTTTATTGATGAAGCAGCCAAAAGATAGCTAATGATGTTTCAATTGAAATCATGATTATGAACCGTTAATTATTAATCTTAAAATTATCTCCTCTTTCATCATTTCAAAATTTTGGTATATACCACCTTAGGCAAAATATATATAAATAAATTCAGGAATGCACAAAAATAACAATTTTTTATGTTTTTACTGTAGAAACATTTTTCTAGAGTATGTGCACATGCATACCTTCACTTCCATGTAGGTACATTGAAATTTCATRGAGTAATATGCTATTCACTTGTCAAAAACTTACAAATACAGTTGTAGGTCACATCAATAGACATTAAATGTTATCATCAAATTTTGACAAATGGATGRTCTGCTTTTKCCAGGACGTGTTCTTGCTCTTCTCCTAGACCATGGATCTAGCCAACTCAAGTACATTGTTTATGGACTAGTATGTTCGAAATAAATTTTTTAAAATTGTTTTGTACTTTTTTTGAGGTGTCTTCATTCTTAACTCATGTGTTTGTGGTCAAATTTGGCTTTTTTTTCCCATGGTTGTGTTGGTGGAAAAATGAATGTATATTTATTTGAATGCAGTTCTTGC